TGCCCACTGTAGCCTTTCACTTCCCTCAATGCCTTTCTACATCTAATCAGAGCCCATAATGCAAAAAAAGAAACAAAAAGAAAGATAACAAAATGAATGGGAAATATGTGCATTGGGGGAGGTAGAGGAAGTGATACAAAATGGGGATGAGGACACCCTAAATGTAAAGCACATAGTCACCAAGAAACACGATGAGAACTCTTGCAAACTAGAGACTATAGTTTTATGTTTCATGAATTCAAAATTTAAGAAAATTGGGCAGTGGAGACAGCAAAAGATCTGATCTCAGTACAGTAGAACAACATTAGGTTAAAACTGGCCAGACCCTTGGTCAAGGAAACACACCCCCTTCTAAGGACTTAGACCTTTATTTTCTTGGGCTCCAAAATCACTGAGGACAGTGACTGCAGCCACACAATTAAAAGACACTTGCTCCATGGAAGAAAAGTTGTGACAAACCTAGACAGCATATTAAAAAGCAGAGACTTCACCTAGCCAACAAAGGTCTGTATAATCCAAAGAATGGTTTTTCCAGTAGTCATGTATGGATGTGAGAGTTGGACCATAAAGAAGGCTGAACGCCAAAGAATTGATGCTCTGGAGAAGGAGCTTGAGAGTCCCTTGGACTGCAAGGAGATCACACTAATCAATCCTAAAGGAAATCAATGCTGAATAGTCATTGGAAGGATTGATGCTGAAGGTGAAACTCCAATATGTTAACCACCTGATGTGAAGAGCTGACTCACTGGAAAAGACCACAATGCTGGGAAAGATTAAAGGCAGAAGGAGATGGGGGTGACGGAGGATGAGATGGTTGGAGGGCATCACTGACTCAATGGACATGAGTTTGAGCAAACTCAAGGATATTGTCAAGGACAGGGAAGCCTGCTGTACTGAAGTTCATGGGGTTGCAAAGAGTCAGACATCACCTAGCGACTGAACAACAACAATGAGCCCAAGAAGGGGGAATTAGCCAAGGGCATGCTGCTCACCTTTGCAGCTTTGAAGCACTGCAAATGAACAGATATCTCTAAGGCTGAACAAATAGAAAGAAAGGAATTGGGGGAAAATCCTAAAGAGCAAGCAAAAAGTAATAATACTCTGAAGATTCATAGAAAAGGCAGATTTCTGAAACCTACATACTGCAGGATCTCAAATTAAAGATTTAAAAACCATTTTGCAACTTGAGTAAGGCAGAAGAAAATGCAGTCTTTATTAAAGAAGCAAAAACCAATACAGAAAGAGAAAGCATTGGAATTTTAAAAACTTAGAAGAACCAATGACAGGAGAAAGAAGGAAGAATTAAAAGAAAATTAAAGAAATCATCAAATTAAAATCAATATGGAGGCAGGAAACACAAACTCAAGAAGCTCTCCTCATAATGCAGAGCAAAGACACAAGAGTGAAAAGAATGAGGGAGAACATGACCAATATTGAGGGGAGATGGTAGAGGAGCAGTTTAAGAATCATAGGTGTTTCTGAGAACTGAGCATAATTGGAACAGACATGACTAATCAAGGCCAGAACTAAAGAAAACATTTCACACCTGGAATACAGACTGAAAGGGCTTCACAATATACTAGGTAAAACATGTGGAAAGACACCTCCCTTAGAAATACCCTGGGGAAATGTCTTAATTATAAAGATAAAGAAACATGTTGCAAAAATTCAACAGAGTAAACTAATTGATATAACAGAAGAGAAAACAGACCCATCCATCTCTGACTCCTCCACGGTACTAAATTCCAGAATTCAGTGGAAAGGAGATTATAATCTCCTTAAATTTTGGACCCCAATAAATAATCTTTCATGAGTATAGGGAGAAAGGAAATAATTGTCCAATACCTCAGTGGCTTGAAAGACATAACAACTTGTCACCTTTTAAAGAAAATATCTGAAGATGATGTTCAATTCACTTATATTAATCGATATTGGGAATGGGAAAATGGTGGTATTAAAAAAAGTGGTAATATAGCCATAGGAAGAACTCTCATCAGACTGAACAGATCATTTTAACAAGCCTACAAAAATGTGAAAGAGGCCTCTGTTCACGCAGCATCTGAACAAAAGCTGAAGGCAAGCAATTTCAGTGTGAATTTACACCACCCACCAAGGGAACAACCCCTTATTTGAACACAAGAATTACTCCTTTTATCAGAGATAATCACTAACTCCAAAAATCTGATTATAACTACGCAAATATATCCATATTTGCCTACCAAAAAATTGGAATGAATTAAAAAAAATTCTACTATGATCTTTTTGAATGGTAGAAATATGGATGATCAGTTCCTTTTCTGCTTTTTTCAAGCTTTCCTTAATGAACACAGATTCCTTTTACAATTAAAAAAACCAAAGACTTTATTTTAAAAATCAAATTTTTTTAGAGCTCAAGACCTGGAAATAGATTTCTTCTGATGAACTTTTTTTTTTTAAATACTGAATGAGTTAACTCATATAAAATGCTTGCAATCATGATTGATGATATAAGCAAGTCTTGTTTTGTGATTATTATTAGATGTAAACAATATGTGACTCATCATTTGGGGAGGCAATGTAACGTAATGGGTAAAAATCTAAGTCAAGTGTGGTCTGTTTAAGTTGTAATGTCAAGCTGCCTAGGTTAGAAGCAGATACTTCCTAATGCTGGTACCTTGAGCAGATTGTTCAAACTTCGTATCTCAGTTTTGTCTACTGCAATAAGGGATGATAATAATAGCTCGTACTTCATAAGGTTGTTAGGAAAATTTTAAAGATTTAAAATTAATGATTATCACATAGTAAATGCCCCAAATGTGGGGATTGGTGATGGTTAGATGGTGACAGTGATTACGTTTCCAACCAAGGCACTAACTCTATCAGTTCAGTTCAGTCGCTCAGTCATGTCCAACTCTTTGTGACCCCATGGACTGCAGCATGCCAGGCCTCCATGTCCATCACCAACTCCTGGAGTTTACTTAAACTCATGTCCATCGAGTCAGTGAATCCATCCAACCATCTCATCCTTTGTCGTTCCCTTCTCCCGCCTTCAATCTTTCCCAGCATCAGGGTCTTTTCAAATGAGTCAGTTCTTCGCATCAGATGGCCAAAGTATTGGGGTTTCAGCTTCAGCATCAGTCCTTCCAAAGAATATTCAGGACTGATTTCCTTTAGGATTGACTGCCACTTTATATCATCAGAACACCCAATGTTTTAATAGTGATATTAAATCAAGAAAAATGGTTTAAATAATCTGACAGTTGGGTATTTTTGAATGTCAAGGCAAAACTATAAACTTGATGCAAGAGTGCTTAAAATCAATCTATTGTCAAGACTTCAGAATGTTTGCATAGCAATTAGCTCTACAGTATGGCAACAAATTTCATCTTTTTAAGTTAATCCATGCAAACTATAAGTTAGTATTATTTGAAGTGAGAGTTTAGCATTTTAAAAAACGGGAACCAGCACTTTCTGGTATTCCAAGCTAACCCATGATATGCAGTCATGGTTGTTTTTAAAGACTTAAAGCAGAAGGTTCACAATGGAGTGTTTCCTCCTTCCTTCCTCCCACCTCCCTTATTGTAATGGTGGCAAACTGCTTAATTAAAGCTTTTTTCATAAAAGACTAAATCCTGGGATGTGTAAGTCAAAATGCTCCAACACTACAATATCTTTCAAATGTAAGATATTCTGCAGCTCTACCAAGAAGCTCATTTGCAATCAGAAAGCTAGGACAAGACTTGATGATAAATGGAGATGTGATTAAGTGTGCAGTGTTTGCTGTAGTGTGGGTAATGCAATCTGGTCTTTCAATTAGACATGTTTTCCCTTTATTTGGTATTTAGTATTTCTTGCCTAATTGCCTTTTATCTGCCTTTAAAAATATTGCCGAATCGTCACAATATGCCATGTTATTGATTTTGTTTTACTTGACACAAAGTACTGCTCTGTATCAACTGAATGCTGGCTTTCAGCTTTTTCTCAGATCAAAAATGAGCTATTTTTCAACTGGAGGCAAGCTCCTTTCATGGTTATCTGTCAACTGCCAAGGAACATCCATGGGAGCTACTGGAAGAATAAAAAACTACAAAATACCATGGATACAAAATTTATTTGCAATTGACTTTCGCCTGCAAATTTGTACGAAAGAGTAATGTTTTGAAAATCCGATCAGTTTTGTTTTGTTTACTTTTAAAAAAACACTTTTATAGAAGTTGCGCTCTGGCCATGTAAAGTCCTTTTTTTAAGGAATTTAAAAATAAATAAACTTGCTTATTTTTAATTATAGGATAATTGCATTATAGTATTGTGTTGGTGTCTACCAAATGTCAACATGAATCCGCCAGAGGCCCACCCTGTCCCCTCCCCCAATCCCACGCCTCTAGACTGTCACGGAGCCTCAGCTTGAGTTCCCTGAGTCATAGAGCAAACTTCCATTAGCTATCTATTTTACATATAGTAATATATGTTTCCATATTTCTCTCCATACATCCCACCCTCTTCTCAGATCAGTTTTAAATGAAGAACAAGTTCCCACTATTTTAAACCTCCCAGAAAAAAAGTCCTTTGGTAATCTGAACCATTAAGAATTAAATCATGTACATCTAGAAAATCAGGTTCAAAGAAACATCTATATGACTTTAAAAGGCAGTCTGTACCCATATATTGACAAACAATAACAATCCTGATCATCTTACTGAATTTTCCAGATGTTCAGCTAGACATTTTTGGAACACCTGCAACTAGAGTTTGGCGGCTCCTTTGTGTGTATCCTGAAGGCTCAGTTTCATTATGTAACAATTAGCTTAAATGACTGGTAATTAGACCTATCTGTAGCTGCTAAGGGTAAAAGAAATGTCTCAGGGGTGGTCTCCAAAACTACAAGCAAAATAAAGCAGCTTCTGCCTCTCGTTTTCAGTACTTGCGAGGCCTGCCTGCCATCATCTCAGACGAGACTCCAGGTTCCCAGATAGTGAAGTTAACAGTCTGTGAAGGGTCCTTTCTGAGGCCGTCTCCCTTACCTGGTTACAAAACAGAGGGGGGCACTGAGCCACGAAGCACTGGGCGACCCCGTTTCTGCACACACACTTGGCGCACCGACTCAACGGCCAGTCCTGCCCGTCGTGAAACACACGGCCTTCGTAGGAACAGGATTCTGCAAGGTTAGAGCGCTAAAGGTTACTGAGGGTGTTGCACAACCTAGACAGCACATTAAAAAGCAGAGACATTACTTTGCCAACAAAGCTCTGTCTAGTCAAAGCTATGGTTTTTCCAGGAGTCATGTATGGATGTGAGAGATGAACTATAAAGAAAGCTGAGTGCTGAAGAATTGATGCTTTTGAACTGTGATGTTGGAGAAGACTCTTGAGAGTCCCTTGAACTGCAAGGAGATCCACCCAGTCCATCCTAAAGGAAATCAGTACTGAGTGTTCTTTGGAAGGACTGACATTGAAGCTGAAACTCCAATATTTTGGCCACCTGATGCGAAGAGTTGACACATTGGAAAAGACCCTGATGCTGAGAAAGATTGAGGGCAGGAGGAGAAGGGGATGACAGAGGATGAGATGGTTGAATGGCATTATCGACTCAATGGGCACGAGTTTGGATAAACTCCGGGAGCTGGTGATGGACAGGGAGGCCTTCCGTGCTGCGGTCCATGGGATCACAAACAGTTGGACACGACTGAGCGACTGGACTGAACTGCACCACTGATCTCAGGGCTGGCTGCATCTATGCCAGGGCAGTCACACATAGTCTTGTGCTCTGGGGGGTGGTGCAAACTAGGGGGCCCTGGGCTTGGGGTATAGCTCTGGAGCCACTCTATGGAGTTCTTAACTTTCTCTCTGAGTTTCCTAAGTGAAGTCTGGTGAGACAGGTAGCATTGCAAGGGGTTTGGAGCCTCAGTTCATGAATGGCCCTACCTCCCCCTGCCTCCTTATCTTCCTGGGTTCTCAGGAGCCTGAGCCCAAATTTGTGCCCAGTGAAAGCTGCCACCCTCTACCTGTATCGGGGACCTGGTACAGGTGCCTAAGGAGAGCACCCACCCTAAGCTCCAAGTAGCAGGAGACGTCTAGGGTGCCAGAGGAGGACTCACCCACCCAGCAAATATCCCCATGCCTGAGGGTGGGTGACATTAACAGCAAATTAAAAACGTGACAGTTTGAGAAAGATCATGGAAGAAAAACCAAAGCTTCCCCCACCCTGCTTTTTTGAACAAAGGGCCCTGCATTTTTATTATGCACCCAGGAAATTATGGAGTTGGTGCTGGCTGATCCTCCAATCTCTCCAGGCAAAATGCTTCCAATAGATTTTTCTCATGGAGAGTCAAGCAGAAAGTCTCCTAAAATGTAACAAAGGAGCCCACAAACCCAGACAGCCACCCTCCAGCCCATCCCTTAAATGTTGTGGTTGGAATATTTTTTCTTGCAGGCTTATCTGGCCCAAAGTTGGCTGGTTGTCCTTTGCTGGCAGGTGACATCTGAAATGCAAGAGGAATGCACTCTACTTTCATCATTCCATTACCATACTTTGCAATCCCCAAAATGGTTCTCCAGGGTAAATGGTGGCCAGGAATGGAATAACTGGGTATCAGAAAGAAGCCAGAAGTCTTTTTAAAGAGAAAAGGCAAGATTACAGTGTAGCTTCCAGGTACTACTTAAAAAGAGTAATTTGAGCTATTGTACACCAGGAGAAAATATACTACAGCAATGACAATAATGTAGTGTCATGAAGTATATGCTACTTAATTATAAAAATGGAAAGAGACATATAACTCTAAAATGTAATAAAAGGGTACTTGGTCCAAGCGTGAATTCTAAGGAGAGGGCTGGAAGCATACGCCTGGCTTGCTGGGCTATGCCTCAGTTCACAGGCAGGCATAATCTCTCCAGCAAAGAGGCCATAAAGACAAATGAAATACTGCTTCCGGCTCAGTGTTTTTTGGAGAAAGACATAAAATCTTAAAGACTAGCCATCAGACTTAGTGTTGTGATACTACTGATACCCAGAAAAGTGATGTTTGTTCTTCTGTCCATCAGGAGGCCGTAGTAACTACTTAGGCCTTAAAGAATCATATCAAAGGATCTGGTCCTTCCTCCTTTCCTTTTCAAGAGCTGTGAATACAAAGGGTTGCATCTGGCCAAGACAAAATAATAAATCAGAGAGCCTCAGCACCCTGAGTTTGGAATGAAGCTTAAGGATTTGTTCCAACCTCACGGTTTACAACATCACTTCCTGCCAAGTGCAAGGCTATGTCTCCATTCCAACAAGGAATGGGGTCAGGGATCTTTGAACCACACTAGGCAAGAAAGAGAAGAGTTGGTATTTCACCAGGTATACCTCACAGGCAGAGGGTCTCTCTCTACAAGCTCATACTCACTCCCAGGGCCCACGCAGACTGGGCAGCAGCTCCCTTCGGGGATGAATTCCAGCTCCTGGTGTCCACACATCAGCGGTGGGCATGGTCGGGGGGTGCATCGGACTTCCCCATGAGTGCAAGAGCATGTGCTGCAAGGGGAGGAGGCCCATTCTGTCCCGTGCTGGGCGTTAGGAAAAGAAAAAGAAAGTTACTGTCAGAACATAGACTTGCATTTGATCAAACAGAAACAAGCCTTCTCTTAAACAAGTGAATGACAGAGCTCCAATAAAACAGAAGAAAGCTCCAGGCTTACAAGGTTGAAATCAGAGTTTGCAATATTCCAAGGCAGAGACCAATTTAGCAATTGATTTTTATTTTCATTTTTAAAAATTTTATTTATTTTAACTGGAGGATAATTAATTTACAATATTGTGATGCATTCTGCCATACATCAACATGAATTGGCCACAGGCATACATGTGACCCTCTCCCTCCTGAAATCCGCTTCCACCTTCCTCCCCACCCCACCCCTCCAGGTTGTCACAGAGGCCGGCTTTGGATTCCCTGCATCATACATCAAACTCCTACTGGCCATCTGTTTTACATATGGTAATGTATATGTTCTCAATGTTGTTCTCTCAAATCATCCCACCCTCTCCTTCTCCCACTGTGTCCAAAAGTCTGTCCTTTACATCTGTGTCTCCTTTGCTGTCCTGCACATAGGATTGCCGGTATCATCTTTCTAGATTCCATACACATGTGTTAATATACAACATTTGTCTTTCTCTGACTTTGTTCACTCTGTATAATAGGCTCTAGGTTCATCCACCTCATTAGAACTGACTCAAATGTGTTCCTTTTCATAGATGAGTAATAGTTATCCTTAAGATTTTATGTTTGAAAATTACAGAAAACCACAAAAATGAAAGAAAAATCACCCCAATCCCATTATTTAAAAAAAAATTCTGTGAAGACCAAAGTAAAATATGCACACATGCATGCTTATCTACTGAATTCTTTATTCTAGCTACATTATTTTCAACAGCTCTCATTCCGATTCAGTTTATTTTTTTGCGTTTTACCCTGATGAGTGTCCACACTCCTGTCTTCTCTCTCCCTTCCCCCAGTCTTCTTTCTCTCTCTCCTATCCCAGAGATCTTATGGTCCCAGGGAAGGTGGGATAGCCAGCAGAAGGCACCTGTCCAACCAGTTCTCCCACAAATTGTAGAGCCAACTCATTTCTGATGAGGGTGCCCATCTACACACACCAAATGTTCCTAGTCCACTTTAGGCTAGGACACCACATTCCCAAAGCTGGCACTGTATTGACATCTAACATATCCATGCTTTGATACATAACATTTACTAAGTACCAAAAGTATTTAAGGGCTTCCCTGGTGGCACAGATGGTGAAAAACCTGCCTGCAATGCAGAAGACCTGGGTTCGATCCCTGGGTTGAAGATGCACTGGGGAAGAGAATGGCTACCCACTCCAGTATTCTTGCTGGAAATCCCGCAGACAGAAGAGCTTGGCAGGCTACAGTCCCTGAGGTCGAGAAAAGTCAGACACAACTGAGCCACTAACACTTACCAAAAGTATCTAAATAAGCCATGCTCAGAGGGCAGTGGAGAATCTTGAATGTAAAAGGCTACAAATATGTCAATTGTTTGGGGAAGTAACTGTCAAAATACATGATGCTCTCAATAGCAGAGTGGAATGATGGTGGCCTTTTAAAAGATGTATGCAAAAAAGTGAACTTAATAAAGTTTCCTCCTATAACATTTTCTTAAATAGCGCCTTCCTCTGCCTGTATTAAATGCAGTATATGATGAAATCTGATTCTGCACAAATCATATATAGGCTTCTATTAAAAACATCATACATTCTAGGTGCTCAGTCACCTAACTATAATCTGGGGATTTCAACTGTGTCACTGAGAAGCATGGAAAATAAACATCCTCTTGCTACTCCTCAAGCCAGCATCCAGAATAATTATTCACCCTCTCTCAAACACAAAAGAACTCTGTCTTACCTAAACAAGTCCCTATGCCTTTATTGTGCAAATTGCTGCTAGGTTGCAAGCTTGCCAAGTCTGATATTTGGGAATTACTAATAACCTGTGCTATTATTGTAACAATAATCGTAATAGGTTGTCATAGCCATCTAAATTTTGGGGAACCACGTCCTTGCCTCACCATCATGAAGATTACTTTCCCAGGACCTGTTGGGAGTACAAGAGGACAGAAACATAAGGAATGTACTGAGTTGGATGAACAAAAGGTTTCCGTGGAAGTGTATGTGTTCTTGGATCACAGCTCAGTTCTCCCTGCCTGGGGGACTATTAGTGTATCACCTAATCTTTCTAAACTGCAGTTTTCTGGTAGAGAAACCTGAAATGGTATTAAGATATCCTGCTCACCTGGCTATTGTAAAGGTTACATGAGGTAGTTGTTAAAGAGGCAGCAAGGGAAGTGGCACATAGGAGATGTTTAACCCTTTCCCCATGAGTCCATGGCCTTCCTACTCCTTTTCCCACCTGTGTGCTGCCTGTGATCACGGCAACAGACCTGGATGCCAAGGCCAACTCCTCTCCCATCAATTTTTATTTCTTCTATAATTAAATATAAAACTTCAAATTTAGTACAGCATATAAATAAATGGGTAAGTCCACGACTGGCTAATAAACTGTTGGCTAATAAAACATGGCAGGCAACTGACCTTTATGCTTTAAAAGGTCCAAGCATAGAAAAAAAAGAAGAAATGGTAGGAAAAAAACTGATACATTCTGATGAGTTAAACTTTTAAAAGTCAAATATATTGAATACATTGTAGAAAAATTTAAAAGGCAAATGACAAACATTTTTAAAAACTGCAGATTATATTAATTAGAATTATACTCTAATATATAAAACCATGTACAAGCAACAAGAAGAGACTGGAGGTGAGATCGAAATGATAGAGAAGGCAGATTCTGAGCTCACCTCCTCCAACGGACACATCAAAATTGCAACTACATATAGAACAACTCTCTTTAAGAACAACCTGCAGGCTAGCAGAACAGCTCTTCTACAATTAAGGATATGAATAAAAAACCTCATCGAGATGGGTAGGTGGGGACACGCACCCCTGGAAGGGAACCCCAACGCAGAATGGAATATCACAAACTTGGAGGACCGCCCTAAGGAGTGAGTTCAAGCTCCACTCTGGGCACCACATCCCTAGGACCTGCTCTGGGAAGACCCACAGCTGGATTTGAAAACCCATGAGATGGACATCTGGGGAAGCCTGAGAACTATAGGAAACCAAGACTCCCCCTTAAAGAGCTTGTGCACAGACTTACTCCCTGAGTCCCAGCACAGAGGCAGCGGTTTGAAAAGTTCCCATTCTAGTCGGCCTGCTAAGGCAGTCCCAGCCCACCCTCGAGCCTGGGCCGACTCCAACTCCAACCACCCCACCAACGTGGCAACCCCAACCCAGCCCAGGAGAGCCATGGTTGGTGTCCACTTCAGCTCCAGGCATCTTGCCAGGGATGCCTCAGCCCAGCCTAACATGCCCTAAAACCCACCCACCCCTTCTGCTCCACCCCCAACTGGCCTGCCAAGGCCACCCAGCACATGAAACCTACATTGGAAACACTTCTACACAAGACCACAGCTCCAAGAGCAGGAAAGATAACAGTTTCACCTAATTCACAGGAACAGACACAGAAAGTCAAATGAAATGAGCACATAGAGGAATTTGTTGCAAAAGAAAGAACGAGATAAAACCCCAGGGAAAAAAACTCTAATGAAATAAAGATAAGTAAATTACCTAATAAAGAATTCAAAAATTTGAATTCTCTATTATAAGCATCATAAAGATGCTAATAGAAATTAGGAGAAGAATGGCAGAAAACAGTGAAAACTTCAACAAAGAGTTAGAAAATATAAAAAAGAAACAATCAGAACTGAAGAATACCATAGCTAAAATGAAAAATACACTAGAGGGTATCAAAAGCATTAGATGATATGAAAGAATACATAAGCAACATGACAGACTAATAGGAATCACCCAATCACTACAGAAAAAAAAAAGAATTTTTTAAGATGAGGATAATTTAAGACAGTATCAAGCATACCAACATTTGTATTATCAGGGTCTCAGAAGGAGGAGAGAGAAATAAAGGGGCAGATAACATACCTGAAGAAACAATGGCTGTAAATTTCCCTAACACGGGGAAGGAAATAGTCTCAAACAAGATGAATCCAAAGAGATCCACACCAAGACATATCATAATTAATACGGCAAAAGATAGAGAATTTTAAAGGCAGCAAGAGGCATACAATGCATAATATTCAAGAGAAATTCCATAAGGCTATCAATTTATTTTTCAACAGAAACTTGGCTGGACATATAGGAGTGGTGTGATATATTTAAAGTACTGAAAGGAAAAACCTTATAACCAAAAATACCTGATAACAAGGCTATCATTCAGGATTGAAGGCAAGATAAAGAGTATCTCAGACAAGCAAAAATTAAGGGTCCATCACCTCTAAACTGGCCCTACAAAAAGTGCTAAAGGATCTCCTTTAAAAGTAAAGGTTATAACTAGAAACAAGAAAATATATGAACAAAAAAGTCTCATTGATAAAGGCATATACATAGTAAAGCCAAAGGATCAACTACTTGAAAAGCAAGTAAAATTAAAAAAACAAAAGTTGGAAAATCAGCCAAAGTACAATTTGTAGTTAAAGAATAGAAAGAGTAAAAAAATGTAAAATATGACATTAAAAACATAAAACGTGTTGCAGGGGAAAGAAAAATCTAGTGTTTTTAGAATGTGTTCAAACTTAAGTGACTATCTGTTTAAAACCAACATATTTGTAAACCATACAGCTGATGTGGGATTATTATCGAAAACATAAAAAGAATATATACCACTCAATATTTAAAAATCCAATTAAAAAATAGGCACAGGACCTGAATATTCATTTTTCTAAAGAATGATGCAAAGATAGCCAACAGGACGGTGAAAAGATGCATGATACCGCTAGTCATGAGGGAAATGCAAATCAAAACCACAATGAAATATTACCTCACATCTGATAGAATGACTATTATCAAAAAGACACGAAGTAACAAATGTTGGCAAGGATATAAAGAAAAGGGAACCTACATGTAATGTTGGTAGGAATGTAATT